CTCTCTCTCTCTCTCTCTCTCTCTCTCTCTCTCTTCCCCTATCTATCTATCTCACCCCCTCATCCAACCTCAACCTGAATACCCATAAACACCACACTTCCCAACCCCCTCTCTTGCCTGTCTCGCATTTCCCTTGATCAACCCCTCTTGACCCCCCCCTCCTCTCCCCCAAGTTCCTCACCCCTACCAACCCCACCCTCACCAACACTCCTCTCTTTCCTTTTTCTTTAACTCTTCAACCAGTCTAGCAAGCTTCCCCCCCCCCTCTTCTAAGCCCCAGAAAAAGTTTCGTCGGCCCTGCCGTCAAGTCCCTTGTTTTGCCCCTTGTAATAAAGCATGGGGGCGGCAGAGGGTGCCGCCTGGTTATCACTCACTCAGATTAAAGACTCGCTCAAGCCCTATCAATTATTCAGAACCTCCGAGGTGAACGATAGTGATTACAATTACAGGAGGGGAGACAATGGCTCATCGCATCATCTATTACCGCCATCTATCCGCAATGTCAATGGCCATTTAACCCGATCGCATCCATTCTAAACTGAGAACAATTTCGTCTCGAACTAGCGAACAAGCGGCAGGAAACCGATGAAAATTTCAACGTACATCAAACCGGAATCGCTAATAACGGCGAAGTCGTCTGCAGTGAAGCGGGCAGCGACCTCCCCGACGTAGGACGGAAGAAGGGAGGTTGTATAGGACCAGGAAAATGGAAGAAGGGGGGGGGGGTAAGGTTTGGGTTTGCAGGAGGAGAGAGAAAGAGGGGATTTTTGGGGGGGGGGGTTATTGATATCCACTCGGTCTCGGGTGATTAGTTATGCGAGTCTTGCTTGTACCTCACATTGCGGATATGACGTAAGGAGACTATAATTTGTAATGTAACACGAACCATTGTCGAATTTCTGTGAAGGTGAATCTGACAATAGTATCGTATCAAAGAGCAACGTTGTGAACCAGGAAGGACAAAAGACTTAATTATCCGTGTACAAGTCAAGTAATGAAGTAACAAGTACTCTGGTAATAAATTAATATCCTCGTTTCTCAGACTGTAGATAGATAGACAAATAGATAGATAGATAGATAAAAACATAGATAGATAGATAGATAGATAGATAGATA